AGTCTTCTGACGCGCCAGTATTCTACTGTCAGTTGACATTCAGTCAGGAGAACTGAAACAGAGACTCTGTGAGCATGGTGAGATCATGAACGTTAGTGTTCACACCATTGTAGGAAGGACTAGGGGAGTGAAAGTTGGGAACAGAGAGTCAGAGGGCCACAGAGGAAGCTACCAAGCAATTCTCCTGACGCCCGGGTACAGGTGGAAAAGGTGGTACCTGCAAAGGGATCTAATTATAGAGGCCTCTGAGAACTCTTGGCTCAAAGAAGGCAGGCAGCACCTTTACAGGTCCACATTCCCGTGTCTGATGGTAGGCACAGACCACGGCTGGCCCTCAGAGTGTGGTGTAGGAGGGAGAGCTGAGTGTACAAAGGAATAAGAAGAGAAGTTAGAATGTACCGGGCTTTCTCCATCTGTCCAAAACCACCATGACAGAGTAATGGTTACTGCCTTCCAGATTTGCCTAAGCTCATTGGGCAACCCCAGAATTATACAGGAAGAAACCTGTATAGGACCCCAGATCAGCTAAACTGTCAGTAAGGTATTCCAGCACTGATGCTGATGTCTGCCTACAATCAGTCTGAAAAGTTCTTCACGGGCCCAGAGTAGGTTTCAGAAGGGCCCTGGGATAGCTTGTTGACAGGCCAAGTGCAAGCATCTGGACTGTGGGAGAGCCTTTTCTGTCTACTGCTCTTAAAGCAGCTCTGGCTTGGGTGGCGAGCCACTCAAAGGGAGTCTGGAGAACTCAAAAGGAGTCTGGAGCATGTAGGAGAATTCTCATGTTAGAATTCTGGGCCTGGACCATGGCTCACTACATATATCTCACACTAAACCATGCATCGCTCACTGGTTCTTACTCACGTTGTCCAATTTACTAAACTAGTCTAGACATCACTTTCTTCGTCTGTAGAGTGAGAACCATCTCTCCCGGGCTGTTTTCTCCAAGTGTTCTGAACGACACTAGTGTGATACATCTACATACATCTGAGCCCTAGCTGTCCTTCCACAGAGATTTGCTCAGCTTCCTGATACGCTTTGTCTGGGAGGTTTGTGTTTGGAAAAAAAAAAATGTGGAAAATAAAAATTAGCTCTTCTCCCAAGATGTGTTGTCCAGTCCCCTGTACAATAGAGTCCCTTCTGGTACAGCAGGTGGCTGGGGTATGGAGGTGTACACGTGACTGAGACTCTAAACACCCTGTCTTCACTCTGCCTTCTGCCTGTATGTCCTCTGCCTTCCATCACCTCGCTCTACTGCCTAAATCTTACTCATCCGCCATTCTTTGGTTCTAAGGACATTTTCCCTCTTCTTGGGTGTTTTCTTTCTTTCTCTTCCTTTTTCTCTTTTGTGGTACTAGGTATCAAATTCAGGGCCTTTCACAAGTTGGGTAAGCACTCTACAACTGAACTATGTCTTTAGCTCCCAAATATTTTCTGGACCCTCTTAGCTGGATAGATTTGTTTTCCTTCCGTAAAGCCTGGGGCTGCCTGTCTTTTATTGCAGTTATTGTAGCACACACATTTGAGCATTTGGATTATTCCCCTCCTAAATTTCACTTCCCCAGAGGCAGGGGCCATGCTTATTAGCTCATGTCCCTGAATAAGTTTGGGCATCCTTCATATTGTAGTCCAGACTGAACTCGGTACATAAGTACTCCTCAGTGAAGTTAAGAGAAACCAAACTGACTTCATATCACCACATGCTGGTGCCCTAAATAACAATAACTTACATCAATATGGTTTCCGCCATAAGAAATGGTAAAGGCAGAGTCTGTGACCTCCAGTCACATGGGACTCTAGTTATGAATTTTGTGTTTTCAGTTGTCCACATTGATATGATAACTCCAGATAAAAGGACAGTCAAAACAGAATGCTCAGCTCTTTCTTACTACACTCAGAGGTGAATGGTCTTTGCAGTACTTTGCAATCCAGCAGTGGGACACCAGTGTTTACCAGGGTCACTGAGCCTTCTATTTAGGTTATGGCTGGAGCTGTCACTGCGCCACCTTCTCCCTGGGAGAAAAATCCATGAACCCTAGATAAGATTTCAAGAGGCTCTTGAGCCAGGAAAATTGTTTGGCCAAGTGTCTGTCCTTTGTCACACTCTGTGTTTCACTGACTGGCTTGTCACAGAACCGTTTCAAAAGCAAAACTGATATCAGAAGTGTCCGCGTTATCTCTCTGTTCTTCCGGAAGTCACTTCCCCTCTGGGCCTCAGCTTCCTCTGGAAGAAGGGAGACTAAATCTCTTGTAGGTCCCCCTCAGCAGCTGTGTGCTCAACTTCCATTCCAGGACACAGGCTGAATTCTTAGGGCCTCAGACTGTCTCTTGTCTGTCTCTAAAAGAGTCTATGACTCAGTTTTCTTGGCCCTCAGCTAGAGCGGCCATCCCTGTTCTTTAGATTGGTGTGGCTCTATGGGTAAAGACTGTCTAGTCCTCACGAAGAGATCCTTAAGGCCCTCAGCAGATCTCTATTCCCAGTGACCCAAAGTTGATTCTGTGTGAACAAGCCTGTGATCCCCGCACTGTAAAAACCACGAGGTGCTGGGGCAGCCAGGCTCCAGGAGGGTGTCTGTGCTCCGGTTCTTGTTGCTGAAGGCCTGACTGTTCGTTGGTATAATCAATTTTCGAGCATGTCAATATGGTTCATAAATAAGCTCAGCTTCACCACACAGCCTAGATCTGTGTGTCCAGATGTCTGCTCACCACTTTCCAGTGCATTCCTTTAGTGTATGGCAGTGATGACATTTTAGGACAACAGTCCTTACAGGTCAGCAAGTTAAAACTCCTGCTTTGCAGGTCAGGAAGAGAGAGGCAGAGAGAGGGGAGCCTGAGCATGAATGGGAAGCCTGGGTGATCCACACATCTTCCAGTACTCCAAACCACTGACACCAAGCTAGAGCATTGGGGTTTTGTGGTTACCTGTCGAAGAATCTCTTCCCTAGTCCTTCTTCTAAATCCATTAAGTCTCCTTTCTATTAAATTCCAATAAGAGCAGTGTAAGTGGATTCTGATTTAATTTATAGCACATTAAGAACAGGCAGACAGAAAAATACAGCCACTACACTAATTGAAAGATACAAAACAGAACACTTCATAATGAAGGCATAAAAACTGCAAAGGCATTCAGCTCAGCAGTGTTCCATGCCGGGCAAACGGTACTTGGCTCAGTATTCCCGAGGGGCCCCCTTTGGTGGAGTATCATGGCATTTGACATTTGTGATGTTTGAGCTCACCAAGGAAAGCGTGGCGTGTTTTACTTCAGAAAATAGTGATTCACAGAAAACACTCCTTTGAAAGGAAGCACTCTGCCCAGTAGAAGAGGGTTTTAAGGATTACTGTTAGAAAAGTTTCAGTTATCTGGAAAGCTACACCAACCACAGCAGCAGGGCAGCTGGGAGGCAGAGGAGCAGAGTTTCAGCTGTGCGAAGAAAGGCACATTCTGCAGGCAGAGGCTGTGGGGGATTGCTGCTACTATCTGCAGAAAGAACAAATAGCAAAGCCATGAGCTCATCTCCTGTTTACACTTCAGTTTCCAACATTAGTGATTAATTGTCCTTGTGTTTTGTTCCCCCCCCCCCCCGGGCAAATTGCTCTCCTTCTTATTTTAAATAAATAAACCATTAGTCTCAAAGCAGAAGTGTCAAATGTCAAGATATTCTGCCATACTACGCTAAGGAACAGAACAATGGACTTATTAAAAGCCACTCGAGACAGACAGCCTTTGAGAGCATCCCTTTGGTGGCATAAACCGTTCTCCATAGGATTTTCTCCTGTTGCTTGGTTAAAACACCAATGCAGATGTCAGATGTCGCAAACAGAAATACAAGCTTTTATTCCTCACTAGAGGAATCAAGTGAACTTTAAGGCGACAGAGCACAAGTAAGGAAGTTAAATGTGTGTGCATCGTCAAACTTTACCATAACTACACCAACCAGCTGTTTCCCAACAAGACACATAAAGTCAGCTTTAAGCAACCAATAACCTCTGCTTTGGTCTCCAAATTTGCACAGGGTCCCTGGACCTTCCAAAGTAAGGAATTCTTTTATCAAGCAGGGAAATTTTGCATCTGATCTCAACACACGTGCATGCATGCAATTTCTGGAGGCCTCCAAAAGACGGTTTCTAAATTTTTCAGGACTACCTATTAAATATAGTTATGAGTACATGACTTCTTGTTCAAAAACTTTCAATGTCTTCCACTCGCAGCATTGACGTCATCAAAGGCCAACCACAACAGGCTGCAATATCCTTTCAAGCACAGCCTCCTCCTCCAGTCTTCATGGACTCCCTGGCTCCTCATAGCCCTCACAATGTGTCTGGAAGTTTCAGCTCTTGTTCGCAAGTTATTTACTGAATAAATAACTATGTGCCAGGTTCTATTCCATGTACCAGGGACATGGCTACTAACAACCAAACACTCCTAATCTCCTGTAGCTTACATTCCCCCGGGGGACGCTTCACCCCCTGCCTGCTTCTGTGAATTCTCCTGTCACACTGTCACAGCTCCGCTTGTGCCTGTTCATCTGAGCGTCACCGTCCCATGAATAACACTGAGCCTTGCTCGTCTTTCATCACCCCATCTCATGCTGTGTTCAGTGGCAGGCACACCCTGGATGCTCTGTGAATGACTTATTGTGTGTGGTTTCTTTTCCCTGGAAGAGTGGGTAAGTGCCTGTTGTGTATAGAACCCGTCTGGGAGGTTATCTAGATTAGCTCTTTTTTACTTTTTCCATTGAATTGTTTCCAATGAACAACTCATCTGGCCGGCAATAAGAATGACAGATGCCAAGCACCTGCTGAGGGAACTAAATGAAGCAAATGAAACTGATCAGGTGGCCCCATTCACTGACACAAGCCCCATGTCTTCCTCCTATCCAAGAGTCCCTAGGTCCCTCTTTGAGTCTCCCAGGCTGCCTCATCTGCCTCTGTCTTCTTGGAGATCCAGAGAGAGGCTGACATGGGAAAGATTCATCTTGTTCCTTTTCACTCTGACCCCAAAGGTAGAAACAGAAGATCAGGTGTTGGCAACCTTCTGTGGGAGGGAGACCACGGACACGGAGCAGACCCCGGGCCAGGAAGTGGTTCTTTCCCCTGGCTCCTTCATGTCCGTCACTTTCCGGTCAGATTTCTCCAATGAGGAACGATTCACGGGCTTTGATGCCCACTACATGGCTGTAGGTAAGTCACCTCATCACCGGGTCTCCCTTCGTCTCTGGAGATGAAAACTGCCTCATGCTCTCGCCTTGACGGACACCTGTGCCCCCGCCCCATGGATTCTGCTTGCAGAGGCTTGCTGCATTTGTTCCATAGATCACAGACCCATCCATCTAGTGAGCTGCCACTCAGCCAACAATTTTTCATTTTTGAGACAGTCTAGAGTAGTGGTGGGCATCACTACACTGCTTCCTAGTTCAACACCTGCTAACAATGTTTTGTCTGGCTGTAGACTATACATATAATGAAATGGACAAATCTTAAGCATGCATTTATTCTATTTTGAAAAAAACATATATTTGTGTGTGACCAAAACCCTCAATACACCTTGAACTTCACTATCTGCCAGAAAGTTCCTTGTGTTCTTGTCCAATTAAATTCTTTGCTCCCAATTCCCTCACAGAACCCAACGGTTCTGACTTTCTTCTATAGATTAGTTTGGCCTTCAAAATGTCACAGAAAATATAGTGGGGACATGATTGTTCCTTTGTTTGGTATAATGTTTCTAAGACTCAATTATTATGTTTTAGCTCCCCGGCAGAGCTACGTTCCGTTGCATGAATACACTGTAATGTTTTTTGTCCTTTTTCCCATTGGGAGATACGTGGGCTTCACTTTTTTTTTTTTTTACAGTCCTTAATAAAGGTTCTTTCAACCTTTTTATGAACATATGTTTTCCTATTTATTGGTGAATATCTAGACACAGAATTGCTGTTTTGAGGACAGCTGTGTTTAGTCTTACAAGAAATTGCCAGATTTTCTCCAAACAATTATGTAATTTGTATAACAGTGTATGACATTTCTGATGGTTCCATGTCCTCATCAACATTAAATGTTGTCAATCTTTCTTTTTCCTTATTTTTATTTTCCCTGGTGAATATGTGTGGCTTAGACTGTATCCCCTAATGGCTAATAATGGTGGACATCTTTGTGTATACTTACCGGCCATTTGTAATCTTCTACAGGAGAAATGGATGTTTAACATCTAGGACAGGACTTGACCTATACCCAGGGCAGAGGGGGTGGGGATGCAGTGGTGAGCCAAACTCTGGGAGAAGCCCGGGTTTTCTGTCTGTTTCACCATCCATGGGGTGAGGGCGGTAAGACTGGGGCACGCAGCGTGGTGATTATTGTAACCAAGATGTGGTGATCACCTCTACCAAGGCTCAGACTGCCTAGGTTCAGACGCAGCTCTCTGCGATCTTGGGCAAGTAGCCTCACTTCTCTGGATTCCGCTCATCTCAGAATTTGACAAATGGAGATGTGGCCACCTCTGGGGGCTTTACACAGGATTAAATGAAAGAAAAGCATGCCCCTCCCCCAACCATGGATGACCTTAAGTGTTTTGTAAATGCGGCCTAATCATGACATGCGCGGTGACTGATGAAGGCTCTGCCCGCCCCGCAGATGTGGATGAATGCAAGGAGAGGGAAGACGAAGAGCTTTCCTGTGACCACTACTGCCACAACTATATCGGCGGCTTCTACTGCTCCTGCCGCTTCGGCTACATCCTCCACACGGACAACAGGACCTGCCGAGGTAGGTCGAAGGACGATGCTGTGCTCTGTCACGCTGCGCCACATGTTACAATGCGATCAGGAGAGACATGGATACATGGTACCTACAACTAAAAACTAAGTCAGGGCCCGGGAGACGGTTCAGTGGGTAAAGAACTTGGGGCACACGCCTGCAAACTTACGTTCAGAACCCCAGCACTCGTGCAGAAAGCTGGCCTTGGTGAGATGCCTGCTTGCAATTCCAGTGCTGACAAGTAGATCCGAAGAGCTTGCCAGCCAGTCTAACAGAAATGAAACGCCGAGCTCCGGGTTCAGTGAGAGACCTGCTCTCAAACTTAGATGGAGAGCGCCAGGAAGATCACTGACATTGAATTCTGGTCTCTGTGCCATCGGCACGGGTATGCACACCTGCATTTACACATACAAAGACAGACAGACAGACAGACAGACAGACGAGAGCACTAAAATAAATGAAGTCAGGGATATACTCACACAGCACATGGACACATGCCAAGGTGCTCACACCACTAGGAGTCCCAGGTCCATTGTCAGAGGAGCATCCAAGAAGCTCTGAAGTCAGGCTGCCCTTCCTGGGCAAAAGTCTGTTCCAAGAATTCTGTCTCCTCTCCTTTTGCAAGTAACCAACCTGGCCGACTTATGAGAAACCTGGCTTCTCCCATCCTTTGTCTACAAGCCATACATTCAAGACCATTGCTAGTCCTCCTAGGGGTGAGACTTCCCCATGCGAATGCTGGAGGTAGAAAGTAAAAACAGATGGGGATTTGAGAGGCCTCCTTCTGCAGTTCGTGTTGGAACTTTACATTAGTCATGCTCGCCGTTCTGGGCTACTGTTTTCTCATTTGCAAAATGAGCAGAATGAACAAAGGCTTACAAAGCACAGACATGCCAGGCCTGGGAGGGGCCAGCCCAAGGGACCAACGTTCGGCAGCCTATCATGGGCTAAGTCATGGGGTGAGGCTCCCTAGAGAGCTGGATGTTGGATAGCAGAAAAAAAAATAAAAAATAAAAAAAGCACAGTAATCTGCGGTTCATAGAACTCAGTTTAGTGTGTGTGTGTTGGGGGGCGGGGGGGAGGCAAGGAATCAGCAAATGAGTATATGAAATGTCAGAGAGGGTGGACCTGTGCAGCCAATAAGAGAAAGGCAGGGACTGGGCAGTGAGGGGGTGGGCGGAGAGGACCAAGAATGACCGAGCAGAGACCAGAAAAATGTTCAGGCAAAGGAGGAAGCAAGACCCAAAGAGGTCCAGACACAGCACCCGCCCCTTCATCTCAAAACCTTTCTTTCTCAGAGTGGCTGCCTGCCCTTGCCAGAGGATCCCATGGCAAGAGTCATCATCCATGGAAACCCCATCTAGAGAGAGACTTAGAAAGTCTAATTTTTCCACAGGTGACAGTGGGTGGACCATTACCCTCCACAGAGTTTCAGTTTCTCAGTAAATTGGGGATTCCTTCTCTGCCTACCTCCTGGGAACCCTGTAAAAACTACACAGTGGCAGACCATCAAGGGTTGGCTGTGTCTGTGTCAATGGAATAGCATTTTCTCTGTTATATTTTCCACAGTGGAATGCAGTGGCAATCTCTTTACCCAGAGGACAGGCACCATCACGAGCCCTGACTACCCCAACCCTTACCCCAAGAGCTCCGAATGCTCCTATACCATCGACTTGGAGGATGGCTTCATGGTCAGCCTGCAGTTTGAGGACATTTTTGACGTTGAGGACCATCCTGAGGTGCCCTGTCCATATGACTACATTAAGGTAAGCCTGCGATGCCTGCTTGTCCCAAGGATGCTGAAGCGTCTTGGCTCAATTTGGAAAAAATAAATAAATATTCTGGGCTTTTGGCTTTTCATCTTCTCTTAGGATAGAGAGTTAAGCCACCAGCCTCCCAGAATGCCATTGTTTAAAATGCTATTTTGGCTTCATCTGCTGCAGGTTGGGGTCTCCTCTGATTCCAAACCAACACCTTGGTCACCAGGGTGATATGAGGTAGAGAACTACAAAGGCAAACCTATAATTTAGGAAGGTCTTGTGAGCTGGATTCAACATTATGGAGTGTCCGCTGGACAGTTGTATGGGGCTTTGCACTCAGCAAGGACTCATGCTTGGTTTAGTGCTCCTGCTGCCTTCTCAATGCATTCCGAACAAGATGCTGGCAGTTTTTGTTTGTAGTAGATCTCACGCATAATTCAGGTGCTTCTGTTGGAGGGAAGAGACCATTATAAAGGCAATAATGAGGGAAGAAAAGGTCCAAGGCCAGTAACTACTCCATTCGAGGTTATTCTTATGTTGTAGGTCAAATGCAAGGTAACCTAATTTTGAGCTTTGGCTGGCATAGTGGGAGAAACAGTTCTCAGATGTGTAGGGGGTAAAATAAGAAGTTCCTACAGTGCTCGGTCAAGTGTCTGAGTGAAGCCAAATATTGGGCTCTGATTTCAGGGAAGATGCTGAGCCTGTCAAATAAAGGTGTCACCAAGTATATAAACAGATGTCATTCTAAGCCATGAGGATACCGAGCAATTCAAGAAAACAAAGTCGATGGGAACTGGAGCCCATGAGTTCTGAGAGCTATGCAGTGGGAGCAGGGCCATCAGTGAGGTTAGAAAGAGAAGTCTGAAAGGGAGCTGTCAGCAGTGGCAGAAACAGAGAAGCCCAGGAACCCCTGTGAGAAAGCTTAAGAACTTGAAAGCTGTCTTGCCCTCTACTGAGTCAGAAGCTAAGAGGGAGCTTGGCTGCAGGTGGGCTCAGGGCATGTTTGTGTTGCTGTGGAGTAAGTTGCTCCCAACACAACAGCTTACAACAACTCTTACCACATGCTTGGGTAGACCAGAAGTCCCAATGGGCTCTATTGGCTTTCCCTTTGAAGTCTCAAGGGATTGAAACCAAGGTGTCAATTTGATGAGACCCTCACCTTCAGGCTCTGGGGAAGAAACCACTTCCAAGATCATCCAAGCTTGTGGCAGAATTTTATTCCTAACTTTGCAAGACTCGAGTTCCATACTAGTAAAAGAGCTGTTCTCACTTTCCTCTGTACTGGTCCCTGAGGAGTCCTTCCTGTCAGCCTCATGAAACCCAAAGGCTTCTGTACAGTAAGGGAAACCACAGACCTAGTCAAGAGGCAGCAACAGTATGCAAACAAATGCTCACTGTATGTCTGACAAAGGATTAATGTCTGGAGTATACAAAGAACTAAGAAATCTAAACACAAAGAAAAGCAACAACCCAACTTTTAAAAAATGGACCTATGTAGAGAGCTCTTGAAGAGAGAAATACAAATGACTAAAAGAAAATTTTTAAGTGTTCAACATTCTTAGCCATTGGAGAAATGCAAATTAAAATTACTTTGAGGTTTTATCTGACCACAATCAGAACGGTGAAGATCCAGAAACCAAATGACAACAAATGCTGTGAGGCTGTGATGAAAGAGGAGCCTGTATTCACTGTGGGTGGGGACGTAAATGGATGCAGTCACCATGGAAATCAGTATAGAGGCTCCTCAAAAGCTAGAAACCCAATTACTGTATGAACCAGTTATATCACACATTGGTATCTGTTCAGAAGATACTAATAGAGATGCTACTGTAGAGCATTTGATCGTCCATCTTCATTGCTGCTCTCTTCACAATAGCTAGGACATGGAGAAAGCCTAGATGGCCATCACCTGATGAATGGATAATGAAAATGTGGTACATGTGTACAGTAGAATTCTATTCAACTATAAAGAAAGATGAAATTATTAAATGGTAATGGATGGAACTGGGAAAAATCATTGAGTGAAGTAACCCAGTCCTAGAAAGACAAGCATTGCATAGTCTCTCTCCTATGTGGATGTTAGCATAGAATCTTTACGTATGCTTAATTTGGAGTAACTATAGAAGCCAGGAAACTAGAAAGAGGCTATGCCAGGGTGAGAAATAAGATTTTAAGGGAGGGCAGATAGCAGAGGATGGGTGGTATACAGATGGAAGGAGACACTGGGGAGAAAGGTTTAGGTGGGAGAAAGGTTTACGTGGGTTAGTAGGTTAAGGCAGAGGAGGGCTGCTTCCAATAAGACTGGCTGTAGGCAAGCCTGTAGAGGATTTTCTCAATTAGTGATTGATGGGGGAGGGCCTAGCCCATGGTTTGTGGTGCCATTCCGGGGCTGGTGGTCCCGGGGTCTATAAGAAAGCAATCTGAGCAAGCCCTCCCATGGCTTCTGCATCAGCTCCTGCCTCAGGTTCCTGTCCTGATTTCCTCTAAAGACGAACAGTGATGTGGATGTGGAGGCCAAATAAATCTTTTCCTCCCCAGTTTGCTTTTGGTCATGGTGTTTCATCACAGCAGTAATAACCCTAACTAACACAGGAGGAGAAACTAATACTAAAGATGTTTGAAAGAGCCATATGGAAATATACTAATTTAGACGCTTCATATTATCTATCTACTATCTATCTACTATCTATCTATCTATCTATCTATCTATCTATCTATCTATCTATTTATCTGTTATATACACAAGAGTTCAAATGGAATTACCTAATATAGGAGAATAACGCTTCTCCCAGAAGCCATAGTTATCAAACAAAAAGCCCAGTGGCAGGTGTAGGGTACCACCCTTCAAGTTGTTGGTCAGAGAGATCCCATAGAACCCTAATAAACAAAACAGGCTCTTTTTATTTGCTCTTTGCTACCCATCAGAAGTAAACGGTAAGACCCTATTGCTAAAGACACCATTCACTTGAGTCATAAGGCATGGAAAAGTCAAGCTGGTCCTGACCTAGAAGTTTCTTCCTTACTAGCCAGCTTTCATGGTATTTGTGGTGCCACAAAGGCAGCTGAGGGAAAACAGTTACCAACAGTCATACCAGGTATGAGCCTTGTGAGCTACAAAAGTAGCCTGGCAAGATATGCCCTTGAGTGCAACAGTGGTATAAATGTTAATGGGGTGACCAACTGCTTTATGGTTGAATTTAAGGCCCACACCACAAAACAATATTCATGCCTGGCCCTATAAATTTGGGAAAGAACCTATGCCTGGGAAAGTCATAGAGCTCAGGAAAGAGCCCACTGCTATCATTTTGTTACACAGACATAGCATCAAACTGCCTTCTAAATACTCCTCTCTGTGCCCATAGACTAGTGAAACTCTCAATCTGCATCTGAGAGCTGTTATTAAATACAGACACACACATCTGGTCAGAGTGCAGAAAATAAGTAAAGACTCAGCCCTAAAGAGTCACCTATATCACACCACTCCCTCATGTAGTTCAAGGAATATTGTAGAAAAGGAGGCGGAAGGATTGTGAGAACCCAGGTCATCATTGAGGTCAGCTGTGATACAGTGTCTTCTGGACATGACAGGACTGTTTCACCCATGAACTCATGGCAGCTGTCGTTGCTCCAATGAGACCTATACAAGATCAAGCCAGTCAAAAGCTCAGCACAGGTGGGGGAGGGGCTTGCAAAGCCCCGCACCTAGCTGAAGAGCTTTGGCCATTGAAGGCTACTAAGATAAAATGCATTTTCTTTAGGGAAGTGGCCCCTGGTAGGTTGTCTGTGTTCCAGTGGTCGGCCCCACGCCCATGTGCGTATATGACCAACACTGATTAGACTCAGTGATTATGGGAGGGGGACATTTGTCATGTTGGAGGGGATATGTGGTGGTGGGTCCTGGGTAGAGTTGGTAGAGAAGTGAGGGGCAAATATAATCAATATATATATGAAGTTTTCAAAGAGTTAAAAAAACAATATTTTTTGAAGTCCCTCTAACCACAAAGTAACAAAGAGGGAGAAGAACATGCAGACTGTCTTGGATGACTAACCATTGTGTTCTAGGAGCTCAGCATGATATCCATATCCAGATACTGAATGTCTTGAAGCATCACTTCCTCTGTCCTCCGCAAAATGATGATGTCACCCAGGATTATAGACATTGCCAAAAGCTAAAAATGGAGTTGTGGTTCTCAGTGACAGAAGGAAAGGGGCCAAGTGCACTGGACTGGGAGTTGGGGGATCTGAATCAGCCATTGGCATTTAAGTCCATCTCTCCGGTTCTGCTCCATTATAGTCCAAACTCCATCGCCTCTGCCCTGCTCATCTGCGACTTCCCCAACTGGCACCCTCACTCCATTCTTGCTCCTGCAGCATCTCTCCTCCCACAGCATAGAGGGTCACATCAAGATCCCACCAGCACTGTCCATGGAATTAAGCTAAGCTCCTCAATAAAATAAGACCCTGGCCAGTATGTCCAACCTCATCCCATACCACTCCCTCTGTTCCAGCCACAGTGGCTTCTCCTGCTCTTCACACCTGCCAAGATCTCTCCCACCTTCGGCCTTGCTTTTTTATATATGCTATCCTTTTTTCTGCCTGGAAAGTGGCCAGAAAAATATGCTGTTCTTCTGTTTTCTTCCACTCATCCTATATGTTAGATCTAATGTCATGTCATCATAGGGCTTTCCTTAGCACCTAAAATTGTTAGTTACTATGTTTCTATTACTCAAATGGTGACTTCTATAGATTATATACACTCTAATACTGGAATTAGAAAATATGACACATGTTCCTATTACACATATGTGCATATATATTTATATGCTTATAATTATCTTGCTTACTTATTGTTAGTCACTGCAGTAAATGACAGAGTCTTTGAGAGTGGGACCCTTGACTATTTTGTGTACTGTACAAGACTGCCCACAATTAATTCATCATTAATTCCAGCATTATTAACTTGCTTTGGTTAACTCTGCAGGCCACTGAAATTACGACAAAGATGGGCATAAAGCCATATGGTGACTGGTCAGTCTACAAAAACGAGAGTGTATACTATGGATTTGCATTAGGACGTCCAGAAAATTCCAGCACTCGTCTACCTGAATCAGGGCCCTGCAACACTCAGATCTGACTTTTTTCTGTATGTATTTATTGCCTCTCTTAGATTAAAGCTGGTTCAAGAGTCTGGGGGCCCTTCTGTGGAGAGACATCCCCAGAGCCAATCAGTACCGAGAGTCACATTGTCCAGATCCTCTTCCGCAGCGACAACTCGGGAGAGAACCGAGGCTGGAGGCTTTCCTACAGGGCAGCAGGTAACCTGCTCCCCCTTCCCAGGTCACCCTGAGCCACTGTGCTCCCTGCTCACACAGCGGGTTGTTGAGGGAGGAGGGATGTTGTCCAAGCTAGAAGCCCACTCCTCTGAGGACCTAGTGGGACTCGGAGAAATTAGGTACAGGGGACATGCTACCTCCTGGCTGAGTTTCCCACCTACAAATGGGGGATGGGTTCCAGGGAGAATGGGGTTATACTCAAGACTGTCTACACTTCAGCAACACGTAGAGAGACTGAAAACACATTGTTTCTTTCTTCTCCTCACATGGAGATTCATTAAGCTGAGAAGACCTCCCAACCCAGGCTGCCTCCAAGTCTGGTGCTGGAGCATGTGGACCCAGAGCTCTGTGGAGATGGGTCTCTGTACAGGTCCCTGGCCTGGCCCAGCCTGCAACCCCAATCCCTAGTGCCCCAAGGCAGCTAGTCCTGACACAAGCCCAGAGGGAGTTATATGACTCAATTAGTCGGTAATAACTCAAGGGAGAAGAGGGTAGACCCCAACGAGGAGTCTTCTTCATAGAACCAGGAGGCCTGGCTCTGCCTGCATGGCCACACAGGGAGAGGAGGGACAGAAATTTAACAAAAGAGGGTCTGTCCCTGGGAAGGTGTCAGGGCTAGACCCACTGAGGTTTTCTGGTCAGACTCAGGCCCTTGAGGAGAAGCAGAGGCATCTGACCACAGTCCCTTAGTGTCCTAGCAAGAAAGGGTGACTGTGGTCATCCTGAGGAGCCAGTGAGTGAAAAATGCCAGGGCACAAATTTCAAATGAATAGGAAGACCATGTTTATTTAACCCGAGGTATCCACGGAGTTCAGGCCTCAGGGGCTGAGCCCCTGTGGCTGTGGACAGTGGCCTTGAGTGTCCCTCCAATCTCTGAGTGTAAATGAAATCATTTGCCTCGCTCCTTCGCTTTACCAACGAAGAAATGGAAGGCCACGTTAGAAAATGACTCACTCCTGGTTTCAAACGTCTTGCGTCTAGGCGCCCGGTCCCGCTGTCTCCACCCGCTTCAGGCCTTGCTTGGCTGGTGCTGCCCCTTCACCACCACTCCACCCCACCACCCCCACCCCCACCCCCATTTTCCCTTGTTTCTCACCCGATGCCTTTTCATCTGCCGCCTGCCAGGAAATGAGTGCCCAAAGCTCCAGCCTCCTGCATTTGGGAAAATCGAGCCCTTGCAAGCCGTGTATTCCTTCAAAGACCAGGTGCTCATCAGCTGTGACACCGGCTACAAAGTGCTAAAGGTGCGGAACCCTGCCTGGGAGGAGGAGTGGGCAGTGAGGTGCCACGCTGCCTGCTCAGCGTTTCCTAGCATCCCGTTAAGCTTCCCGTGACTCCAGAAATTCAGAATGATGCATTCCAGCCACCCCTCACTTCAGGACATGGCACTTAAGTTGTTTCTCGGGGCATGAGTTGCCCTGAATTTTTAAATATGGGGCCATATGGCTCTATAATTAGGGACAACAGCCTTAACAAAGCTCATCAGGGGTGCAGTGGGTTGGTACAGAAAGAGAAGCAGGGCTTTTAAAGATGGCAGATGGGCACCCCTCTAATTCCTACCGTTCAAAGCGGCTGTCTACCTACCCACCTTTAAGAATAGGAGTAAGGAGCACAGTCCTCATGTGCGGAGGCTTGGGACTGGAACCAGTGGTTGGTATCTTTAGGTTCCCCAGGTGAGAGTAACATACGGTCAAGCTAGAAGCCCACTGCTCTGAAGGAATTGCCCTCAGGAAGGGGCCGGATCAGCAGCAGCAGCAGCACCTGGGAGCTTGTTAGAACTATGACTCCTTGGGTAGGTCAGACGTACTGAACTGGGATTTTAGTGGCAGGGAGCAGCAGTCTGTCTCCACTAGCCCTCTCTAGGTGACGCTGACTGCTAGATCTAGTTGGAGAAGCATTGACCTAAACCTAGAGTGAAAACTATAGTTTTTCCTCTAGAGACAGTTGCCTGTGCCCAGAGTATAAATGGGGGAGACAAGTGAGCACCTGTCTCTTTGTTATGGGCAAGTTTGCCTTTGGAGTGCACAGGACAGGGGGATTGCTAGCTGAAGATAGCCAGGTTTGAAGTTGGAGTCATCTTTGCTAGGCAATATGTGCTAATCCACGACCTCCTTCTTCCCATTGCCTTCCTGATTTCTTTTCAGGATAATGAGATGATGGACACGTTCCAGATTGAATGTCTGAAGGACGGCACATGGAGTAACAAGATTCCCACCTGTAAAAGTAAGGAAACCAAATGGATTGGCTACAATGATGCATTTCTTCGTGGTGGGGTCAGAGCAACGACCATGCTGGCTTGAAAGTTTTGCCAGAGCTAAGAAAAGTGTCAAAAGTCAAACACCATATAAGAGCTGGACGAAAGAATATGGGAGCCCGTTTCAGAAAGAAGAGTTCAGAATCACACACACACACACACACACACACACACACACACAAGCTTTTTGAATGGCCCGGTTTACTTTCTAAACACAATTTTTTCTCTTCACCTGCAGACAGAGTACTAAATTCCGTAAAGGAATAGGATATACCTTAAGGTCTGAAATGAGCCCAAGCGTGGGAATTGCTAGTTTGGGAAATAGTTTGGCGCTGATGTGCAGAGCCATTCCAGTGGTGTTGAATGTCTACATGCCAATTGCTCACCTTCTAAGTCTTCTAGATCAGCCGATGGCTTAGGGCTGCCTGGGGAGGGCTGTGGAGTCAGCACGGACGACCTCTGTGAAGCAGAGGACTCTTGGCTCTAGTGACCCAGAGTTCTTGCCTTGTGTCCCACTAACATGTTATGTGACCATGGACCAGTTCCAGATCTTTTGCTGAACCTGTGAAACAGAGTTTAGACTAGCTTTAATTCTAGAACATGAGTCATGGTTCTAGAGAGGAAGAACCCACATAAGTTGTCTATTGAGTTTTGTAAAAGAATATCAATTTCCAATAACTGCTCTGTTACTCCCATACCCATGTGGTTTCAAATGTGAAAGTTTGGACCGTGATTTTAACAACTCTGTACAGCTGTATAACAACAGTGTAGTGGCAGTCAGGGAGGGAAGGACACTCCGGGACTTCCTTTAGAACAGAGATGAGAAGTCCAGGTATTACCATCAGTCACGTGATGCCCATCTCATGACTTTGGGCTCTTTCCTCTTTCTTTTCTCCTAAATAGTTTCCATCCAGCATTCAGACAGACCCTGACAGGAAGGCTCCCTTGAGGCAAACCACAGGTAGCCCCAAAGTCAGACTGGTCTTGTTTCCTTTTTCACATGGTGATGGGCTATGGTGGTAGTGGGGCCTGTAAAGGAAAAAGACTGTCATTTATAACTTCCTAAGGTCGGCACTTACTGGATGCCAACGCAGAGTTCTGCAGGGAATTCAGATGGAAAGGACAGGGTCTAGCCTGAAGACCTCAGATGCTCCTTCCGTAGGTGGCCCAGTGTGCAGTGTGACTGGGTTCTGAGCTAGCTCCCCTGCAGGGCAAAGCAAGGGTCACTCTGAAGATCAGTGGAAGTGTGTGGTGCTCAAGACTGAACCAGACACTGTAGTCAGGAAGTTGTGGCTTTACATGTAGATTCTAGCAGCTGGGTGGGCCTAGGTAATTTACTCACACTCTTTTGGCCTCATCCTCCATGGTCAAGACTGTGGTGAGAACTAATTGGGTTCCTACCCACACCATGCCTGTAGAGAGCCAGAAATACATTCAAATGTAATAAGCCCTTAGTTATACCCAGCCCGCCCCCATCAAAGAGCAGGGATTTGGAATCTCTGTTTCATATTTCTGGAAAACAGAAAGTGCTATTAATACTTTCCCCTGGTGAAACGTGTGGGTTATTATAATGGACACGTTGACAGAGTAAGGCCATATCAGATCGTATCATTTTATGTGACCTATGCTAGAAAGCCACAGAACATCTTATCATTTTATACTTAAGAGCTGACTCAATTCATTTGCATTAAACTAGATTAGGGCTGTTACAGCCCTTGTTAACACACAGCCAGCATCTTTGAGCATCTGTGGGTACTTTGTACTCTGGTGGGTCCTAGGGAAGACGTACAGTAAGACAGATGAGTTGAATCACTGGGAAGTGCAGGGAGGGGTTGGAGACAGACCAGAAGTGTGCAGGGTGTGACTGAGGCATATGCAGCAGAGACTGGGAATGTGGCCCAGGTGGTCGCATGCTCACGTAGAATGCACAAGGCGTGGGATCCAGACCCCAGCATTGAATATACCAGGCGTGGGAGCCATGCCTATAGCTCCAGCACTCCAGAGATGAAGAGTGGGGGTTGGGGATTTAGCTCAGTGGTAGAGCACTTGCCTAGCAAGCACAAGGCCCTGGGTTCGGTCCTCAGCTCCAGAAAAAAAAAAAAAAAAAAACAGAGATGAAGAGTGGAGACAGGAAAGATTAGGAATATAAGGTCGTCTTCAGCCATATAGTGAGTTCAAGGCCAGCCTAGGCCATGTGACACTCTGTCAAAAAGGAAAAAAAAAAAAGAAAAAATGATAAAAATGTACAGAAGAACAGGAAGTGGGAATTATGGGCTGTGGTCCTGGCCCTGCCTCCACTTTGTGGTGACAAGTCCTTCTATACTCTGAATGCCATCTGTCAAATAAGCATTTTGGCCAGATGAATGCAAAGCTCCCAGCCAGGGGCAGAATTTTATCTTCCTCAGGAGCCAGGATGTAAGATTATGCAAATTCTCAGAATGATACAAATTCAGCAGTCCCAGACTGTCCTTCCCACTGCCTGTGCCTAAACCGCATTCTGAACGTTCCGGTAGAACGGTTTCTGTATTTCCTGCGTGAACTATTTCTGCTTTGCTCGCTAACTTTTCTCTCTCTTCCTTTTCCCTCTCTTTCTCTTGCTCCCTCTCCCTCTCTCTGCCCTTCTTCCTTTTGTCTCCTGGTCCCACCATGACTTCACCACGGTTACAGAAAGCGAGATCGATTTGGAGGAGGAATTCGAGTCAGAGCCAGTGACAGAGTGATTGACAATCATGGGAGCCCCACACAGTGCAGACATCCGAGGATGGATTATACAGAGACCCCCCCAGTCCCAGAGCTACCCCACCCTGCCCCACCCACCGACACTCCATTGCCCACTTCAGTGTGGATTAGAACGGATGCAGAGCGAGCGAGCGAGCGAGGCAGCCACGCCTCGGCCGTGGGAAGTACTGCCTGACTGAGAACAAATTCTCTCTTGACGATTTACTCACCATTCAAACTAACTCCAAAAAGCAAAGAAAGACAATGGGTGATTTTTTTTTTTTAATCTCTAAGTAAACTGTACTTGTCTCAAAGGAAAATATGTCCTTGGGTCGAGAAACACAAATTTAATATATAATCATGTGTCCTAGATCAACATGGACCCTGGCTACTGATCAACTCCATACTGCAAATTTAAATGGGTCAGGATGCCAGCTACTTAATGACTTTCAAATTTTTGGCTTCTGCTATTGTCTTAACAACCACGAGTTTATAAAATGAATAATAACACCGAGTGTGGACTTTTGAGAATCTGGATGTTTTCTCATTCAGAAAGTGTATTTCCCATCCACACTGTTTGGGCTGAAATTCTACTGTCCAGGTTTCCTTACTACTGGGGCTTCCAAGTTTTGTGTTTCTTAAAACTCACTGATTAAAAACCTTAAAGAAATGAGCATCAGTCACATCTGGAGGCAGTGGTCCTCAGCTTGGAGGTGATGACTCTACCTAGGTCATAAACAACAGTGAAGAACATCAGCATGCATGCTGGAATCTACAAGGCAACGTCTGCCTGAGTACACATACCTGAGAGGCCCTGCTTCTTAGTCTATGACTACCCAACCTAATGGTTAGATGGTCACTTAGTGGGAGCAGAATCCTGCAAATGTAGATGATGAGTTGGAGACTGAGGTGCTGTCTTAGGGTAGAGATGTTCCTGATGGAGGAGATAGGATGGACACTGAAGGCGAATGTCATCTGGGCAAATGTTTGCCAGCCCACAAAGTGTTCACAATCATTATGCAGAGGCGAGAGAGGGACTCACAACTCGAGAGGAAGATTTGATATGTGTCCAAACAATTGTAATAACAAACAACATAAGATGCGTATCTCCTAAGAGTCGTGAGTGAGGATTTCAAGGACACAAGAGCATGACCTATCCAGTTAGAAGAGTGACAGACATTTTAGGAAGAAGCATGGTGGTATGGAAACAAAGTGCCCAGATATCAGGGGTGGTACAGGCAATGCCTGTGAGGAGGACATGGCATGCTGGGGAGTCTGCCATGACATTGGAGTATAGATGTGCTGAGGGAAAAAGAATAAGATCAGGAAGGTCGTGGGGCTTAATCCTTGGTCCAGAGTACCAGGATCTTCTTATGGGGCGCTCTCTAAAAAACCCCTGAACTACAGAAAAGCATGTTTAGAGCTTAGGCCAAGAAAGATGTGTTAGAAGAAAAATAAATGGCAGCAGGAAATGACCAGAGAGACAAGATGTGGGATAGCACCGCTCATGCTCATTCCACAGCGTGGTGAGCAGGGCAGGCTGAGGAAGGGGAGGAGAGAAGAACATTCTGACTCCAGGGTGTGAAGTGGCCAAAGACAGAGAGGGTGAGTTCGTTTTGTGTAGCTAACAAGCTACTGCAACATGGCCGCCAACACCATTGCGCTGACGGTTCCGGAAGTTAGGAGTCTTGATGCCCCACCCTCAACGCTTTGATCAATGTCTCCAAAGCCAAATTCTAGCCAATCAGGGCTTGTGCTGTCTGGAGCTCAAGTCCCTCTGGAAAGTCTGCAGAGTGAGGGCAGAGGCAAACATAGAACAGGAGAAACCCTTATTAGTAGCTGGGGACACCATTTCTGACACACACTGATTGTGTCAGGCAAGAAGCCTTCGAGCTCTTGGGAAAGCTGTCTCCTCTCAAAGACATATGACTTCCTCCCTGCCATTCTGCACTTGGGAAGAGGGTTGCTCCCCCGACACTGACTACGATCGAGCTGACATGGCTCTCTCTTTTCTGTTTGTTACCCCTTTTCTCTGGCATCTCTGTCAGTGGGCAGAGTTACATGTCCGGAGCCACGTGAAAGTGTGCCCTCTACTGAGAAAATATCTCTAACACCAACCACTCAAGCACAGGGCCAAGCACTCAATTCCTCCATTAGGGACAGGAGAGTTGAGTCATGAGGATCATTGAAGCTAAAGAAGCTTCCAGAAGGCTCAGGGAGGTAGCAGTAATACCAGTATCCAAGTACTAAGGGATTTTCTAAAGGTAGAACATCAGCTTCAAGTCTCATCAGGAAAGTCTATTTAAATCTATGTAGGGTTTTAAATAGCACTCTCTATTTCTTATTATCCTGGCGTTAGCCTTCACGCTTACCTCACAAACTGCCAGAGTGTCTGTGTTCTGGGTTATCAATGCAAAGGAAGTAATCTGTTCAGGGGGCTTGAGGGCCAGGACCCTTTTGGGTAAGAAGTACCCACATGCACTTCCTTCCCTCACCTCCCCCCTTTTTTAAATCTGGAAGGTTCTGGAATCAGACAAATTGTAACTTAGGTAACTCTAGTCGATCTAAAGGTGAGTTTGAAGTCCTAGGGTTAAAAACCACAAGGTTAGCTGCCCCTCTCAAGTGACCAAATTGAGGGGGAGGTGGAATTTTGGAAATTTTACCAGAACTCTGGAAATATTGACAGCTAGTGTCCACATCAGCCAGCTAATGTTTACTATTTAACTAGAAAGCAGATATTCAGGAACAGCCAGTACCATTTACTGGAAGAACACCGACTCCAACCAAGGTCAGGGCTAGTTCTCACTCTAATAATAATTCCCTAGGTAACTTTGGACTGATCGAGGCTTCTCTCTCTTGCCTTATCTCTGACATAAAGAAGAATTTCTACGTGGTCTACCTCAGTTTCTCTTCCATCTGTGGAATTTCATGTTTCTCTAATTCTGTTATAAACTATATTATATGTAGGATTAGCGTTTCCTTAAAAACAAGCATCCTTGTATTCTCAGGGTTACTTAATGAGAAAAAAAAAAAAAGCAAGCATCATTCTCCAAAAGCGGCCCTTAAAAAAAACATCAATAGATTGGGTCCTCAGCCTCTGATGCAACCATGAAAAGATGCCTTGACTGGGCTGATTCATGCTAGACTCCATCCATGCTAGCAACTTACCTAAAACTTGGCTAGACAAGCAAGTTTTCTAAAGCCCATCCCAAGGGGCGGCATCTTTGGTCATGTCCTGCACTAAGATGATAGCCAGCCCCGCTATCCAGCGCTATCAGAGGAGCAAGTGAACAGGTGGAGACTGGGAGTTCGTCCATTGAGACTCTCCCTGCCTTCTGTGACAGATGAGCGGCCTGCAGGGAGCCAGCAGGGTGGGGCTGTGTACTCACAGAGGAACTGCGTTCTTTTGTTTGTTTGGTTGTTTGGTTGGTTGGTTGGTTGGTTTTGTTATTTTAATACGAAGTTCCAATGTGAGCACATTAAATGTTCTTATTCGGCCTGTGGTTGGGACTGGAAAAAAGAGGAAGATGATTTGGTTCAGGTCAGCCAGGATTTTCTCATTGCACTGTGGGCTTCATGCCTGGGCCACGGAAGCAGAGACGATTGCAAAACAAACTGGGAGTCAAAGAGGCTGTGGTGGGGGAGAAATTTTGGTCTCCGTAAGTCTCGGCAGGCCTGCTCTGCGCTGAAATTGACACTAGGGCTGGTATGTCGACCGTAGAGTTGGATTGTAATGGAGAGATGTCAAAAGTGGAGGTGGCAGCTGTGTGGGCAGTATACTGCACAGGTACAGGGTGCCAGTCCGCTAGGATACGGTGTTTCCCCCTGGAGTTGGGTGTAGTGTATAACCTGCACATCTAAGGAAAAATAGATGCCCTGGTGACCCCGAGAGGAAGAACAAACGGCAGCTAACGGGGGTCTCCCGTCTTCTCTCTCAGTTGTAGACTGTGGGGTCCCAGTGGGGTTGAAGCATGGACTGGTGACCTTCTCCACAAGAAACAACCTCACGACATACAAATCCGAGATAAGGTACTCCTGCCGGCAGCCCTTTTACAAGATGCTTCACAATATCACAGGTAAGCCCTCCAGGTCTACTGTACCTCACACGTCCTGGGCCTCGGGCTGGGGGCTGAAACAGCTCCAGGAGGAGTGGCCGCCTAGTCATGTGCAAAGCCTTGTGATACAAAGTGTCATGTCCCATTAGGCACACCGTTTGACCCTTGCTCCCCATGTGCTCAAGGAAATAGGTCTGTTTAGGTGCACTTAAATAGTCCCAGGACCAAAGCCAAGGTGTTTTCCCTCTTCCCTTGGAATTCTGAAAAGATTCTAGTAAAATATAGAGCCTGTGGTGGAACATGAAGAATGCATACATGACAAAACTCAGAGACTAAGTGAGCCTCTCAAGGAAGTCTAGACTCTCCCAAAGTTAATTCCCTCATGTGTCTGAGGTAAGAGCTAGGATTTCTAGAAAATGGCCGCTGTGGCTGACTCCACTGTCTCTGCCTCCTCTTGGTGTTGACCAGACCAAAGCCACCCAGTAGAGTTGTAGCAATCCTGTGGGGTTTCCTTCAGAGACCTGTCTCACTCAGAGGTCAGATGGGCTGAGAGAAAGAGAAGCAATTGACACATTTCAGTGGAAAACCCAACACGTCCCAGACCAAGACCCAAACACAGCCACGGCTGTTGCTCTCCAGGCCTCTGCATAGTTTCTGGCCAAGATTCTTGGCTCGGCCCGGGGTCAGGCGGCAGCATGTAGGCCAAGGGTGAAGGACTAGCAACAGCCAGTCTGTTGGTCACAGTGAAGGAGAAATAATTAGAAATGTGCCCCACTTCTCCCGTGAATGAGGCCTTGTGGACTCCAACCATCATTACCCTCAAAGTCACCCCCTGGTCTCCAGCAGAAAAAAACCAATCCTCGTGGAGACAAGAAAGCCTCCCCTCTGCATGTGAGCACCGAGGACAATCCCTTAGTTCCTCCAAAGCTCACCTTTAAATAAGGAAGCATGCTTTAGCTCACAAGGCTATTGTCAGGCCCACGCCGGGTGGTGGACACAGATGTGGCTTATTAAAGAGCTCAAAAAAGGGAGAGAGAAGCATGTGTGCTGACAGAGCTTGATGAACAAAGGTTCTATGACCCATGACAGACACCTGCCAAGGCCCGGGAGTATAGAGAAGAGCACAGACCGTCCTCAGGCAGGCAGGGTTAGACCGGCAGGGCCTCTGGAGCCATGCTGAGGAGTACGGTGTTCGCTTCTGAGGACAGTAATTCAGAGCTGAAGAGAAAGCTTCTTCAGGTCTCAGAGATGACTGGCTCAGAGAGATCCTGAAGAGCTGCTGTGATCCATGTTAGAGCAATTGAGAGCCCAGGCCCGTTTCCTGGGTGTTCCACATAATCATTTCCTTTCTCCGCTCCTTTCCCTCACAAAGGTGTATATACGTGTTCTGCACACGGGGTCTGGATGAATGAAGTGCTCAAGAGAAGCCTGCCCACCTGCCTTCCAGGTACCTCACTCACCGAGTCCTCTGTCTCACGGTTCCCCACTCGAGGTCTGTTAATGTCAAGTTGAGAAAAAAGGCTTTGTTTTTGAAGTGACGTCATCAGAAGGTTAAAGGTCAGAAAAGTCTAGCCCCACCTCTTCTCAAACTAACCAGTGTCCATATGTGGCCTACTTTAAGATCCCAGAAGCCTCCTATCTCTTTGATGTTCAACTCCAGTCCTTTCCCACTAGGTTTTTCAGCCAAAGCAATTTGTGTGTGTAAACCTCGTGTTGTGCCGGGAAAATCACGAAAATGGACACCCTGTCCTTGGGCATGCACCAGCCCCTAAATAAGATAACTAGAATGTGCTATTGAGCCCAAAAAGAGTTATGTGCATAAGTAGGTCTGATTCTGCTTCCTCCATGTCTCATCTACTTTAAAGTGGAAAGCAGATTTTGAGGTAACAAGAGGTGTCAGGATGAATATAAACGTTGGGGAATTTGCTTTGGCATTGAAAGTACAGATGATTAACTTTGCATCGTGACTCACAATGCATCTATGCACAATTAGAAAATTATAGCTCAAGATCACACACTGTAGAGCAAAACACAACCCACAGAAATTAACTTTAGTACATACAATGCTGGAATTTGTACACTTTTAATTTCTAAAATTCGAGAATAATAGCAATTAAATGATGCAGCACTTAAGACAGCATTGAAGAACACGGAAATGAAATCGCCCTTCCTGATTCAGCATGCACATTTCCATGAACAGCAGCTTTGCATCTGGTGGCTTTTTTTTTTTTTTTCTGAATGAAAATGTCGGGCAAACTGAGATAGTGTACTTTATGCATGACACATGTTAGTGGCCCTTGGTGTTCATTTAGTGGGCTTCTAAATAGTGGGTTACACATTGAAACACCAGGCTAAGGAGCTTTCTGAGATTAATCCTCAGGACATGAAGAGTGCAGCAGCATTTGAGTATGTTCCATCACTGACACACTGGGCCTCCTAGCAAGGGGAACTAAAGGTAGATGCTGGTGCAGGAATGAGGGGTGAACACCAGAAAGGGACTGAGGCAGTGCATAAGAAAGAGGCCATGCCACTCACACGCTTAACAATTCCACTCACCTCAAGCACGTTCACGAACTCCAAGTGGGGAAGACTTTAAAAAGAGCAGAATGGTGGGTCGGTAGCAAGCTGGAGGTTCAGATGTCCATACCTCTAAAATATTATGTGGCCAAGAAAACTAAAAATCAGTTCCCATCCTAGAAAGCCACCGTGTGATGTCTGGATGGGGAATACACACTGGGCTGGGTGCATGCCTGCTGCGGCTGTTTCCCCGTGGGGTCTTTGGTAAGAAATTATGTTATCTGGGGATGGGATTTCATACCTCAGAAATGAGTGGGCAAGACCAAGAAATGGCTGACATTTTATGGTTCTCAATGGTCATCAGTCCCGCTCTGTAAAGAGCAGCTTGGATACACTGAGTCATGAAATCCTTTTAACACGCAGAGTCTGGCAGAATCATAATGTATCATTGGACCACACTAGAACTTTCCAAATTCTTTCCTTCTGAAAGACCGGGTAGTAAGCCAGACTTGACAAAACCATTTCATCCAGTACCACAATGACTACCCTTTTGTGGTGGAGGGCTATAAGCAGTCAAGATTCACTACTTTTTTTTTTTTCTGACATGAAAACTCGGGATCAAATGGGTGGGGTGACTTTTGCAAGGCCACCTTTCGAGTTGGGGCTGATCTACAAGATAACTCGGAATGTTGCTATCTACGTGGGCAGTGCTGCACTTTCCTTGACAGGTCATAATTTATTTCATCCAAAGGTCTTGAGAATCCCAGAACACCACCTTTTTGTTTTAAGGAGCCTATTTCCTTCGGTGCCCACCATTATTATTTTTTGTTTTAATCTGACTTCAGCATCGCCAAAACTTTGAACGTTCCAAGAACGTTCTCTGTCCAAGGGAAGACTGGGAGGGGAGTAACAGTGACCAGCATGGAAGATTCCAAGCATGGAATCGGAGGTCATTGTCACCAACTGCCGAGTTTCACTGAGCTCAGTGGTGCGCACCTGGAGTCCTACCTACTTAAAACACTGAAGCAAAAGCAGAAGAGGAGGAGGGAGGGGAGGAGGAGGGTGGGGAGGAGGAGCAGGGGGGTCCTATTTCAGTGAACTCCCCCAGTGACCTGTTGCATCATTTAAACCCCTTGAAAAATCAAAGGTACATCAGAAGTAAAACGTTGTAAATTGGCAAATGAAGCTAGTCCCACTAAGCAGGCTGTATTTCCTTTTCTTAATATTATTTGTAAGCAAACAACCTTCTCTGAAACTTTGTTTCTCCATCTATAAATTAGCTGTTCTCTAACATTCTTTGGGCTGTGACCTTCTGTGACCGCGGGATGTACTGGCACCTTGGTTGGGGAAAGAAACCATTCATTGCTGTCTATGAGCTCCATTATGACATGGACTGGGTCGTCTATTTGTCCCTCATCAGATTATGGCCTTTGTCTGCTAGATGAGTTTTTATGTCGCATGCCACAGGCCCCCCTTGAAATGTCACCTTGTTGTCTGCTGTTCGTAATGAAAGACTGGCCCTGAACTTCAAAGCCCAGGCCAAAACGGGTTAGAAGGTCTGTTTACATCTGGTTTGGAATAAAAGACAGGATGGCCCAGGATCGTGGAAGAAGCATTTGGCACTGGGAAGAAGAGCATCCGAAAAGCATTAGCCTGTTGAAAGTTTACCCTCCCAAAGTCACAAAAGAACCCAAATGTTCCTTGGTCTCTAAAGAACTGTTAGAAGTGCTCAGGGCCAAAGAGGATAGCCTGACCATTGCAACAGGATGCGCACACCCACACCAGCCTCTAACACCCTGCACGGGAAACGCCTGTATGAGTCTGTTCATAGCCAGTGAGGGCTTGTTACTGAAGACCCTCTGCTCATAAGTTTGGCTGTGAGAGTTTGGTGACACATGTGTGTGCTCGGGGTGCAGCTCAAAGGAACGAAGTTTTCTCTCTTGAAGGTATTACAGGACCTCTGGGTGCAATGATGGGTGGTCCTGAGCAGGGAGCATGCATCATTGCTTGTGGATTATGCCACCTTTTCCTTACCCTATACACACTGAGCCTTAACACACAAACACCAGTGAGTCCTTTAGGCCAGAGAAGCCTATGGCCATGGTCTTAATGTGTAATAAAGCAGTATACAGATGAAAACTCTATCTTATGGTCTAGTTTAGGCCCTGTGTACCTGATGTGATAACCATGTCCCTTGGGCTAACCTCAACCTCTAGACAATGACATTTGTGTATAAATTGTGGACAGAGTAAACATAAGAAAAAAAATCCAAGAAATTTAAAATTTGGACATCAACTTTCAGAAGTTGAAATACAGGAGTATTGACTTAGTTCATTTGGAAAGTGGAAAAGTTAAGTCAAGAACCCAAGTATCTCCGTCTGGTGTGAAATCTATGAAATTCTCACTGAACTTAGTAATTGTGCCACATGCTGCATAATTCACAAAATAAGCACCAGTAGCACACCCATTCTGCAGATGAGGAAACTGAGCTTCTGGAAGTCATACAACTTGCCATGGCTCATAAAGGGGAGTTGTGGAGTTGGAAGCTTGACATCTGACTACTATAGTCTGATGGATGGCCGTTGAGGCGCTCTCCATTTCTCTGTGCCCAGCTAGAGAAAATGCCAGGAGGTTCTCTGAGTGCCTGTGGTGCAAATGGCTTCTGGGAGATAAGGTGCCTTCCTAGAGAAGAAGGGGTATAAGTGTCCTCGGCTAATGGTGGCTAAACGTGGCCCTGTCCAAAAGCGGTTGAGCCAGAAGTGGCTCAAGTTAGACAAGACTGAAATATAGAATGATCTGGTGCAGGAATGGCTCTGGTTATGGAGGTCCAAATTAGACATAGGCCAACCCAGAAAGTGTTAGATGTGACTGAGCCACAGCTAAGCTCTCCGAAGCTTGCAGGACTCAGGCTAGTGAGGGTTCCATGGTGGCATAATCCACAGTGGGTGAGATTGAATTTCTCTCGGTTCTTTTCACGTGCTTGACTCTGTCCATGTCTCTTGTCTCCGCCTCCTCCTCCTCCTTGCAGTGTGTGGGCAGCCCTCCCGGCCCCTGCCAAACCTGGTGAAGAGGATTATCGGAGGCCGGAACGCTGAGCTTGGCCTCTTCCCGTGGCAGGCCCTGATCGTGGTGGAGGACACATCAAGGGTACCCAACGACAAGTGGTTTGGCAGTGGGGCCCTGCTCTCTGAATCCTGGATACTCACAGCAGCCCACGTGCTGCGCTCCCAGCGCAGAGACAACACAGTCATCCCTGTCTCAAAGGAACATGTCACCGTCTTCTTGGGTCTACATGACGTGCGGGACAAATCAGGAGCCGTCAACAGCTCTGCTGCCCGAGTGGTACTCCATCCAGACTTCAACATCCAGAACTACAACCATGACATAGCGCTGGTAGAGCTGCAGGAGCCTGTGCCCTTGGGGGCCCACGTCATGCCCATCTGTCTACCGAGACCTGAGCCTGAAGGTCCAGCCCCTCATATGTTGGGGCTGGTGGCTGGCTGGGGCATCTCTAATCCTAATGTGACGGTGGATGAGATCATCAGCAGTGGCACGCGAACCTTGTCAGATGTGCTACAGTACGTCAAATTACCTGTGGTGTCACATGCTGAATGCAAAGCCAGCTATGAATCTCGCTCAGGCAACTACAGTGTCACAGAGAACATGTTCTGTGCTGGCTACTATGAGGGCGGCAAGGACACGTGCCTTGGGGATAGTGGTGGGGCCTTCGTCATCTTCGATGAGTTGAACCAGCACTGGGTGGCCCAAGGCCTGGTGTCCTGGGGAGGACCTGAAGAATGTGGTAGCAAGCAAGTATATGGAGTCTACACAAAGGTCTCCAACTATGTGGACTGGGTGTGGGAGGAGATGAACTCCCCAAGGGGTGTTGGGGAGCTTCGGGTGGAACGGTGAATGCATTGACTTCCTCGGGGCCTGCCTCCCCTGCCCCAGATCAAGCGAGGTTACACTACACACTGCCAACAGCATACTCCATGTTACCAGACCAAATAACATACAACACACTGACCTAGCTCCTGAGATAGCCGCCCATCCCCCAAGACAGGGGTTAGTGTGGTACAGGGAAAGTCTCTAGGCAGGAGAACTCAGTCCAAAGCTTCGACCAAGCCTCTTCCTCCCCCTTAGCCTCACCTCTCCAGCAGTACAGGGGAAGCTGTTCCAGAAGGCTTCAATCCTCGGTGTCAATCACTCCTTATCACTTGCCAAGCCCAGGAAGCGCAGTATCGATGTCAGAATGCTTGGACCTGATCCTTAGGAAAGGATTACACTCAGCTCAAGTCTGTATCTGTGTATTTGCCCAGCTCTGGTTTCTGGGCCTGCCCTAAGCCTAGTTCTTCATGTAGGAAGGAACCATTCAGGGTCGGGGGAGCAAGATGTGAGCCTGAGCTGGCTCTCAGAGTGCAGTACCTTGGAACACTTCCGTTCTTGGAATTTCTCCTAAGCGCTTCCTGCCGTGCGAGGCTTATGCTTGGTGCTCTCAGAGTTTCAAACAACCGAGAGGACACGGTGAGGGCTGTACTGACTGAAGGGGGAATAAAAACAACTCTCCGAAGCCCCTTAAACGCCTGCTGCCCACTCAGAGTACACTGGGCCTATGTGCCCCTCAAATACCGGCCGGCACCGTACGGTGTCAACACCTGCCACTCCACACAAACACAGAGCAACCTTCCAGCCCTGGAATGTTTCATCTCTAGACTTCCTGCCCCCAAGACACACGTACGGAGACCGGGCAACTATTTGGAGAAAGAGAAGACTCTGCCCCGCTGTGCCCCATTGCTTCTCGGCAGGAAAACAGAAGAAAATATGGACTCAAGACACGATGAATCACTCTAATACTGCACTCAACCCTGGAGCCTGAACCCAGCAGAGAATCTACCAAGTAGCATTCTCCAAGCCATCCACTCCTTGGTGCTCCAGGGACCAAGGTCAGAGAAGCACAAGGCTCACTCATTGGAAAGAGATAGAGAGCCCTGAGTCTTGGGTTCTGTCTCTAGCTCTACCTTTCAGCTGCCCATGTGACCCTTGACATCATTTTCCCCTCTGAGCCTCATCCTCATCTGGAGGGTGAAGGCAGAAGATCCGGTGGGGTCTGTCCAGCACTCTCAGTGGCCACCTCCCTGGTTGCTAACGGCATTCCTGGCTCAGATTCTCCTGGTTGAATTCTCTCCTTTCCCCGAGTTCACAATCCCAGGAATCTCCATCCGACAAAGGCAGCTGGAAAAAGACCCAGAGAGGGATGTGGAGAGAACTGGGAAAGGTCAATCAAAACACACTCCTGTATCTATGAATGGCACATGTAAAGGCTACTACTATATTTTGTATATTTAATACCACAGGCTCTGCTACTCTCTAAGGGGCCTCTGCGCCGGTTCCCTTGTCGGGGGTCTCCGGTGGCAATAAATCTGTGGATAACCAATAGCCTTGGTTTGAGAGCTCGTTGTGACATGTGTTCATTCATTTTGATCTTTTAAAACATCAGTGTGCCTTCATCAGGCCCCCACCCCCTGTGTAGGCACAGATGCTGGCCTCTGAGCAGCATCTAAGATGAGGTAGTGAGGAAGACGGGGTGCTTGTTGGTTATTGGCATTCTTCTTCCTCAGAAGTAAGGCTGCAACTCCTCTCACTTAACTGCCTACAGTTGTGCCCGTGGCTTCAAAGAGCGCACACCGGCAGACAAGACGGGGCTATGTGGGAATAGATATTAACCCAAGCCAAGGCAGCTAGCTGGCACCGGAGGAATGAGATTTAAGTATTGTGGAGATGGAATTAAAAGGCAGTGTGAGTGAACAGCTACGGGGACTCGGGATGGCTTAGCAGGGGCTGCAAAGACTCACGGGGAGGGGAGAGAAAGGGCATAGTGGACAAGAGCAGATAAACAGGCCTGAGCTGAAGACGGAGCAGTGGACACCGACAGACAGACAGTCTTACAAGCCCCGGCCCGCACTGTTTTCTAGTCAGAGAGTCTCAGAGTGCATCATGTTCGATTCATGTGGTGGGACTGGCTGGCTGAACATTGCAAACTGCTGAGTCTCACCCCCTGGCAATTCTGAATTCAACAGGGTCTGAGTACAGCTAGCATGACAGGGACATGGCAGGGAAAAACTGGGCTACTGACAGGTGTCTTGGTGAGACGTGGGTGTAGAGGGCGCCAGATGTAGATGTAATTAACCGTCTTATTAAATAAGAAACACAGAACCAATGCAAAGAAGAAAGCCAAGAGATCAGAGCTAAGAGCCTTACCCGCCTGCTGCAGCTAGCCTCTTAAGCCAAGAGACCTCTTCAAAAGAGAGCTACTTCCTGTCTGTCTGTCTTTATATAGACTTTCTGTTCTGCCTTCTCATTGGTTGTAAACCCAACCACATGACTGCCTCGACACTGACTGTATGTACAGCCCTCCAGGTCTTCTATGGTATTGAGATTAAAGGTGTGTGTCTCCAATGCTGGCTGTATCCTTGAACACACAGAGATCTACCTAGCTCTTCTACCAAGTGCTGGGATTAAAGGAGTGTGCCACGAACGCTCAGCTCTGCTATGGCTTGCTATTAGCTCTGACCCCCAGGCAACTTTATTTATTAACATACAAATAAAATCACATTTCAGTACAAATAAAATATCACCGTACGTGGGGACCCCCCACCATGTGTGATAACGCAGATACGGCAGTTTAGGCCAACTTAGGGGGTGCATCAGCAAAGCTTGGGCCGTAGGCATCTCCTGAGACACCGCACACATGAGGAAGCAGAGGCAGAATCACCTACCGTGAGAGTGGTGTCTCTTCATGGCACACACACACACATGGTTTGCCTTCATTTGGGATTTCTATCATACTTTTGAGTGCGTGTCACGCTTTATATGCTGTTGAGAAATAAAACAATCCTAAATCAGCCTTTGAAAGCTTTACACCCTGCTGGTTTCAAAGACTGCCATGACTCGAATTTGACAGTATTTTTGATCTGTATTTTCCACTAACTAACTACGCTGGCTTTGTATTGTGGCACATGGATTATTTGCAGCATGCTGTGACATAGAATGGGAAGATGTGTTAGCCTGTGTCTAGTAAGTCTCCATCAGCTTAATGACTGATAAGATACAGAAGCGAAGGAAAATGGAGGTGACATGTACGCGGTCAACTCAGACACCAAAAGAAGTCTAGAGTGACCAAGGGTGGGAGGGCGGCTTGTGGAAGGAGAGGACAGGGGCTCAGCTTTGCTAGGGTCAAAGAATTCTCAAGCAACACAGCTGCAAGTGTCCATCCCCAGTACAGAATCAGGGACTTCAGAAGAGAAGAGGCGCTTTCCAGACACGAGGTGATACTCACCAGCAATAGGTAGGATAAAGCCTGTCGAGAGAAGGCATTGTCTGGTGAGAATTGCAGAGAACAAAGGAAGCCAATGGCATAAAAGAGAACAGCAAGACAGAGGATTAAAGGCAAGAAAAAAAAATGTGCTTCCGTAGTTAAGGAGAGAGACTGGAGCGTAGTTAAGTGTTCACTCATCCAGTGTAGACTGGGGGTCTCGGCAAAGGCCTCTGGGGCAGACATTCATCAAGGTAGGATCCAAGCTTCATGGTCCTTTCTGAGGAACTGTCAGGGTGCAAGCTGCCTGTGTTTGAACTGCCTAACACCCAGTCTTCCTCTGTTCTCCCTCTCCCTCCCTCCTAGGCACCCCCCTCCTTCCCTCCAGTCTTTCCTGTGCCTGAGAAAGGCTTTCAACTATCCCCCAAGAGACAGGAAGCTGCAGTAGCATCATCCTCTCTCTGTGGCATCCCGTCAAAATTATGCTTAGTTCCCGGGCTTTGCTTCCTTCAAACACAGCAATCTTTTATTCTTACCACAGTGCCCAACTTCAAATAAAAGTCTTTCTTCCCCTCCCTCCATCTCTGCTTTGTTCTTTGAAGTCCAAGTCTATCTATCCTTTCCTTAAAAGGAGGGCCAGCTTCAATGGTGGGGGTGGGGCCACAGGGCAAGGAAAAGCTGTGAAAATGGAGAAAACACATCGGACACAAAATCAAAACCAGTGTTCTCTCGTATATGTAAATATCGCTGTTGAAGTTGCACTTAGGGCCCAAAGCCTCCTGAGTGTAGGTCTACTGGCTATTCCAATGATTGCCCATTTCCAAGTATGAGCAGTAAAAAGCACCTTCATCAGGTCCAAAGAGGGGGAAGAATGCAAAGGGTATTTGCTCCGTCTTCTTCTTCGGAGAGGCTTCATTGGAAGGGAAGAGAGAGACTGGAGAATGAGAGGAAGGAAGGAAGGGAAACTTATTTGTGTGTGTGTGTGTGTGTGTGTGTGTGTGTGTGTGTGTGTGTGTGTGTGTGACCATGTTTTGTGGAAGAAGGAGAGATGAAAACTACCGAAGAGCAGCATCCCCAGGGCCCTGAGTGTCTGCTGGGAACGGGGTAGGGTGTTGACGAGGACCACTGCCTAAACTTTGTGCAGCAGCTGAGCTTGTAATCAAGGGTGTAGCATATTTGTCTGGGATTCAGACCAGTCTTGGCTTTGAAAGTGGTCATGGCTCCCTGGATCCAGAGAGCTCCGTGGGCCCTGGAAGCCACATTGTTGAGAATTAGTGATGTTGGAGTGGAACAAGCCCAGAGTTGGGGTCAGGTGACCCAGAATTATATTCTTGCCATTTCCCCACAGAATAACTTTGCCAAATCAGATATATATATATATTGGTTTTTCAAGACAGGGTTTCTCTGTGTAGCTTTGCGCCTTTCCTGGAACTCACTTGGTAGCCCAGGCTGGCCTCGAACTCACAGAGATCCGCCTGGCTCTGCCTCCCGAGTGCTGGGATTAAAGGCGTGTGCCACCAACGCCCGGCCTACCAAATCAGATATTTTCTCTAGGCTTTGACTTTTGTTTTTTGTTGTTGTTTTGAAACAGGGTTTCTCTGTGTGACAGTCCTGGCTATCTTGGGACTCGTTTTGTAGATAAGGCTGATCTCGAACTTGCAGAGATCAGGCTGCCTGTGCCCACATGCTGGAATTAAAGGCGTGCACCACTACCGCCCAGCTAGACTCTGACTTATGATAAGAGGGACACACGGATGGTTTCTAAGGGCATTCAGCATGGCTTTGGCTCTGAATCTGTATCAAGGAAGGCAGGGGATGAGACAAGAGAGCAGGAAGACCTTCATTGTAGGAGTGTGCAACTTCACAGGCCCTGAGAAAGGTTTTCTCTAGGGACAAGGCCCCTGCTGATGGAGCACGAAGCTTCTTTATTAGGAATCTTACATTTCGGAGTCACAGAAAATCAACATCAAGAGGAAGAAGAGGGAAAAAGAAAGACGGGGAAGCGGGGGTCCACGGGTTCACGTAACTGAAAAGATCATTCCCAGACGCTTTCGGTATGGCTCCTTAGCAGAGCTCAGCACTGGGGTTTGGTGCCCGTCTCAGCCTGCACCTTTCCATGATGTTTGGTAGCACCGTTCTCCCGTCCTCTGCATGTTCATCCTCTGCATGAGACTGAAGCTGGCCGAGCTGGCCCTGCAAACAGCAGCTCAGCAATCCGGCAGAGAAAAACTTCTTATTCTAACGTTAGTAAAACCTTCAACCCAGACTTTGCTTGGCTGTCCAAGGACACATCTCACTTTAAAGACATTGCGATGGCCCAGGATCTAGACCTTTGATGAGTCACATTCCTGCTCCTGAAACCAGAGTTGGGGCCAGTCACACTCAGGCCACCTAGACCATGAATGGGGAAAGTATACAAGTATACACACGCATGCATGCACGCACGCACGCACACATGCACGCACGTATGCACGCACGCATACAAACAAAACCTCAACAATAGTACTACTATTAGGAGGGCCAGTGGATGATGGGTGACTAGTAGTGACATGTTCCTAAGAGAATGATAATCTGGCGACCCTAACGGGTAAGGTGGAGTATAGAATGTGACCTCTCCCCCGTCCCTCCTTTGGCTACAGTGTGTGGTCTCCCCCAGTTCTCCCGGAAGCAGATCCCCAAGATCTTCATGGGACGCCCAGTCCAGAAGGGTACCACTCCGTGGATTGCCATGCTGTCACAACTGAACGGGCAGCCCTTCTGTGGGGGTAGCCTTTTAGGTAAGGAGACGGTGAAGGGGGGAAGGACCCAGGGCTGGGGACAGGGTGAAAGCTAAGGACCAACCTTCCCGTGGAAACTGGCCGTTTCTTCACTGAGAATCACGGCCCCAGACAGACAGTGTGGAAAAGCAGAAGAGCGAGCCCTCGGCCGGAACCAGGACAAGCATCCTCCTGTGCTAATTCCTTGAGCTGTGGTGCACTTCCTGGATTCGGGTCAGTCTCCTGACAGGCAGCTGGACATGGGTGGTGACCCACGGCACACACATGTGGCACTGGGATGGGATGTGCCAGAGCTGCCAGATCAGGGAGAACCAGAACATTTACCCATCCCTCCCCCACACCCCCAC